ATCCCAGCACTGCTCAGGGCACGTTGCAGGAGACTTGTAAATACACCTTGTCTTTCCAGAAGACACCAGATGTTCTTATGCTCATTGTTGCAACTCATCTGCCTTTTGCCTGATGATGTTAAATAAATGTGATAGTTCCCAAGCCATGATAGCAAAAGGGCAGTTTATGTTACCCAAACGAGCAGCAGGCAGAGAAATCCTGCTGAGAAAATCTTCTCTTGAACTGACAGAAACTGCTTTATCTCCTGAGCACTGGTGCTGCTCCCCATGGCTCACAGGAGTTGTAGTTCACAGTTCTCCATCTGTGCTTAATCTAGAGCACACGAGAACCTTTCTAGCTGCCATTCACACCTGCACTAGGTAAGGAATGGGCTGCCACCTTAATACAGTGGGTACATGCACTCAAATAGGAACCCCTCCCAAATGTCCCCACGGAGTATGATCAAGATTTACATCTGTGCTGTGCCCCCCTGGGCCTTATGGACCTGTTAGGAAGTCCCATGGTGTTTTCTAACAGCTGATGGGGAGAAGCATCCCAGACATTTCTGACTGCTCAGCAAAGGGATTCTCTCAGTTGATCCCATTTATGTGTTTCCCTGACTGCCAAGAGCACACCTACCAGGGGAAAAAGCTTCCTGTAACACATCCCAGGTATTTCCATCACCTTTCCTTAGGTCTGCAGGTAAGAGATTGTTTAACTCTGATGAAATCAGGCACGTGTTGCACATTTATTCTGTTTAAGCCTTAACAGCACCCCGAGGTATTCGCTTTCAAACATATTTTGACATTTCTCTCCAGCCTTGCAGGATTGTCAGCTGCAGTAGAAATAAGGCTTGAGCTGAAATTTCAGTCTGTTTTTGAAGCTGAAAATTTCCAGGGCCTGGGTTTTGTTTAAACTCTTAAGCACCAGATGTCTGTGTTCCCTGAGCCAGCCATTATTTTAGAAACATCAGCAATGGCTACCAGTGGTGGTGGTCCTTTTCCACAGTGGCTGTGACAAAACTGGCCACTGTTTAGGGTCATCCTCTCATCTGACCTCATGTAGGTGCATTTCGTAGCTAGACCAGAGGAGAATTTGTGCTTCACCAAAAATGAGGTAACTGGGGATGAAAACAGAGGCAAATCCAGTGCTCCTTTATGGCAAAATTAAGAGTTGGACTCTGATCCTTGTGGGTCCCTTCCAACTCTCAAAATATTCTGTGATACTGTGAAAATGGCAACACCCACTGCCACTGCTTAATGCTGAAAGTGCTCCTTGTCAATTCAAAAAACCTAAACATTTGGTCTCTTCAGTACTGAGCCAACCTGAGGCAAACTGTTGTTGAAGTTTCCCCTACATCGGAAAACTCCAAATCATTCCACTATTTTGATGTTCTCCCAAAATAAAAAAAAAGATGAGCTCCACCTAAAAAATCTGAGACTTTCCATTTTCTCTCACACAAACAAGACAGCCAAATTGAGATTGCACCAGCACTGTTCATTCTGGTCTTTCAGAACTTTTAAGCATTAAGACTTGGTAACCCAAGCAACTTTTCAACATGCATTTTGGGTGTACCATTAAATGCTATGTATAACCCAGCCATAGGAGTGTACAGATGCCAAGCTATGAAAATTATCTCCCTGCTCTTTGGCAGACTCCACAGGCAGAGGGATTAGATTATATCCTATTTCTTTCTGGTTTAAAATGTATTCAGACAACTGAATAGCTTTTCATTTAGTGCTTGTCCTGCAATTAATTTCTCACATCCTTCCTTTCAGTCTTGGGAGGCTTTTACAGAGTCTGGTGCATTGTGCTTTGTCCTCCCTTGTCCTTCCATTTTTGGGGGAAGGAGGACATTCCTATTGCCTGTAACAATCAGTGTATCCACCGAGGGCTTCTTATTGCTGGAAGCTGTTTGTCAGCCTGGCATCCCAGCTTTTCCTAGGAACAAAGAGAGTGAAAGCTTTTCCCCTTCTGCCAGCACAGCCAGATTTGAAGGCACTGCAGCAGAACCTCAACAGGCACAGATCAGAACAGGTCTGCTCAGACCAGTGCAGTGCAATTTTATGCCAGAGGAAGATCTAGACATTTGCAGAGACTGGTCCCTTTGCTGTGAACTGTGAGCCACAATTCCTGTAAGTGATGGGTCCAGGGTGTACCTGAGCTCTGAAGGGCCTGTGGTGATGGATGATGCTTTTATGTGAGCACCAACTTAGCAAGAGGCCTTGTGACGGTGAACGTGGCCACTGTTTACCTCATTTGTCAGAAAATGGCAGAAATCTCTGAAAAAAAACTTTCCTCCAGAGGCTCTGAATCATTCCTTCACTGCTAATGGATGTTATTTTTTTTTCCAGTGGAACTAAGCCACCATACAAAGCTATTGCTGTGAAAGAGGAGGCAATATTTTAGTTGGCTACTTCCTTGTCAGGCAGTGAAAATCACAGAATTGTTTGGAAGGGACCTTAAAGGAAGGGACCTTAAAGATCATCTTGTTCCAACCCCCCTGCCACGGGCAGGGACACCTTCCACAATTCCAGGTTGCTCCAAGTCCTGTCCAGCCTGGCCTCCAACACTTCCAGGGATGGGGCAGCCACAGCTTCTCTGGGCAACCTGTGCCAGGGCCTCCCCACCCTCATGGTAAAGAATTTCTTCCCAATATCTAATCTAAAGTTACAGTAACCTTTGCTAGTGAGTAGGAGCAATGTGACCCATCTCCAAAGCACAGGCATTAAATTCCTGCAGAAGTGACCAGGAGTGACAAACACAGGGCTTCTGCTGCCAAGCACAGTGTGATGGGAGACTGGAATGTAATACTCAAAGTGCACGTGGCAATCAGCATTTGTCTTCCTTAGGAAAATGCAGGTGTTTTTTGTGGCACCCCAGCGACCTGAAGCAGTGCCTCTCACCTTTCCTGGTCCAACCATCAATCAGTCACACGCCCTGGGGGAAGGGCACCTTTCAGCCCAGCCTCTGTCCTGTCAGGGTTTGGTTTTGGGGAGAGGGCTGTTGGTTCAGCACCAGGCTCAGCCAGGAGCTTGGAAAACACGAGGTGGATGCTTCCCACCTGTGAGAGGCTTTCAGAGCAGAGTGGGGTCTGTGCTGCTGGCTCTGCTGTTCACATCCTCCCACGGCTTTCTGCACTCGGCAGAAGAACTGGCAGGAAATGGAAGCCACTCACAGGAGCGATATTTTAGCTTCTGTGCTGCACAGAAACATTCAGAAACTTTTTTTATGGTCTTTGGATCCAGCAACTCCAGTAACTCTCCCTTTAGCTTGGTGACACTTCTGATTTTACATTAACCTTGGAAGAAGGAGCAACTTTGGGACACTAGAGGAAAAGAGTAACTGGCTGATGGGTCTGACACATTTAAAACTGTCCTGGAGCACCCAAATGGCTGCTCTGCCTGCTTCATCTCTAAACATTTATTTAAAAAATAAATAAATAAATAAATAAATAAATAAATAAATGAAAGAAACGAAACTGCATCCTGTCAAACAGTCTAGTGAATTAAATTATGCAGATTTTAGGTTGGTAAAGCCTTTCATCAGAGTTAAAGCACACGAGGGCAATCCACAGAAACAACTGAAGGTGCTCTGAAGGATGTAGGTGCCTCCCAGCCCGGACACGTTCTCACACTCTTCAGATTCTCTCCCCCCAGGTATTTTTTAAATCAGTTATAACTAAATCTCCTGAGACTCTCTTCTAGGGACAAACAACTCAATTTAAACTTTAGGCTGCCTGCAGACTCACAAGAGGCAGGTCTGCATGTTGTGTTAGTGTGCATTTCTACCTATGTCGAAAAAGGACAGTGACAGAACAAAACAATGTAATTTTTTTTGTGTATTTCTGATATGAATAAGGCTGTTTGATTATTAGAAAGCAATCAGCTGTCCAACCTTGAAATAGGTTTCATGTGATCGAGTTTTGACTTAAATCCTCAGAGTTTGGTTGTGAGAAAATTGCATTTTTCTGCTCGGGGGTCCTCCCTGGCTGAGAGTACTGTGAGAAGTGCCTAAATCTGAATGAAGATAATACAGTTCTAAATCTGAATTAAGATAATGCAGTTGTGCTACAGCCCAGGTGACTGCATACCTGACCTTGCACTGCTGGGCACATCTATTGCTGCAATTTTAATAAGAGTTTTGCTGAGGTGGAAGTTGAGACTCAAGTCTCTGATGGGTGAAACACTAAATGTGCTGATTCCCACAGATATTCTGCTGCCTGAACCACATGCTTCTTTGTATTTTATACATTAATGGAATGCAATATGTATAATGTAGCACATAAATTTAGGATTACCCATTATGCAAAGAACTCTGGTGGGAGAAGTTAATTAAGTGCTGTTGCTATTGGATACCCAACAGCTTGTATTTGTACCATTACCAGTTGCCTGCTGGAGCAAACAGATGCATTTCTTTAATTTATTACTATGATTAGTGATCTCAAAAGCTTTCCCCTAGTTGGGCTTTCAGCCAGTTCAGCCTCATATATGGCTGGATCCCAGAGCCAGTTACACACACTCTGCACAAGGGGAAGTTGGGGCAGATTTAAAGCATTTGTTATGTGCAGGAGGCACTGCAAGCAAAAAGAACTTATGAATACTTGCAACACTTCTGTGAGGAAAGCACATAAATATATTATTTATCCACTTATGTATGCAGAATAGAAGCACATTTTCTCATCATATGAAAAGAACAGGGGCCAGAGTTCAGATATGCACCCAGACCTCAGAACAATGTTTTGTTCAGTTTGATACAAACAGGGAGAAACAAGCTTAGCCTCCTTGACTGCTTGAATAAAAAGAGGAGAATGCAGCCATCCACAGCACAAAATTCACTCTGCACCAAACAGAACTAATGAGGGAAGGTACAGGCTTCTTAACACCTTCCTCTTGCTTTTCCTTCCTCTTTCTTGCCTCCCCAAATCAAATCCACGACTGAGAATTCTGCAGGTTTTCCTTTACAAGGAAATACTTTGATGTTGTGTGCTCATGAAACATTTGTGGTTTATGTCTTCCAGAAAATCATATTGATGTGCCTCAAGATGGGAGAGGTAGGACCAGACTTCAAGGAGCAGCTTTCAAGAAAAATCAACTGAATTACAAGAGGAGGGAAAAATTAGGGATAAGCAGGAGAGAGAAAGACTACAAGAGGAAGATGGAGCAAGTCACCTGAAGACAAACATCATTCAGACAATTTCTGTAAGGAAATGATATGGAAAGAGTCTCCAGGAGAAAGTAGTCTGTAAGCAATATTTTAGTTCTAGGCCAACAATATTATCTCTGAAAGAAAGCACCATATTTGAAAATGCTGAATAGGAAGAAAATTAAGTTGCTCTGGCAAATCCACACAAAGGTGGAAAAAGATCACAAGACAAACCTGTGGTAGATAACTTTTCTTTGCCTCCCCATCCATCTATTGCCATTTGAGCCTAATCTAAGTGTCAGAATACTGAATGTGAGTTTTTCCAAAGTTCTCTGGTGAGCATTTTGTCACAATGGGGTAGATGCTGGCAGTCCTCATCACTGTTAACCATATTTACCATATGCATTGCAAGGTAAGCAAAGTCCTTTCAGTGAGTCCAACTGCAGGGTAGCAGTTGCTTCAACCTTAATGCACATTTTAAGATCATTGGCAATGATTCTGCTAAGACATCAAGCAGCTGAGCACATCTCAAGTTCAGGTTCACACACCCTCTTCAAGAGGGGAGCTTTATTAGGAAGCAAAACAGGCACCCAATTCCACCCCCACACTCCTTGAAGATGAAAAAGAAACAAACAAACAAAAAAATTGGCCAACTGTGTATTTCAAAAGCAATAATACCATTTTCTCTCTGCTTTACAAGGCAATAGTCCAACTCCCTCAGTCACTGACTGGCTTCAGAGTTTACACCTCACAAATCTAAGAATTCATTTGTGAGCCAGAAGGACAGTGATGCTACCACAGAAGTACTTGGTCACCAGGTTGCAATAGGGTGACTTAACTTTCCACAGGACAGACTTATTTTAAAATCCTCCAGTATCAATTACATGGGCAAGCCCTGTGAAGTTCAATTATTTAAGCTGTATATGTGGAGAACCTGGCAGTGGCAACCAAACAGAGGAGTTCATCTGGAAGTCATAACATAAAGCCCTGATAATGCCAAATTAATCCTTCAGGCCTAATATTTTGCCTTGTAAATCTGAATAACTTTAAAATGACCCTACATTCTGCTGTACAGCCAACACAAGGAACATGTGGTCAGTGCATAATCAAGTTTTACTTCTGGACCTCTTTGGCTAAGTGAATTTTATTCCCCTGTTGAACTTAAAAAGGGACACTGTTCTGAGTGATCTGAACTAATTCATGGCTACTGGAGTGCAGGATGGTGCATGACTAAAACCAGATAGGAATAAATTGTGTTGGAGGACCCAACAAGGCTGGAGATCACCAGAGTGCCTAGCCTTCAAAATCTGAGCAGGATGCAAACCCTTCCAAAAAGAATATGTCATCAGAGCATTGCAGAACCATCCAAAGCACTTCAGCTGGGAGCAAAAAGGACCCTCAGCAAAGACACGCTGTAAGTACCTTGCAGATCCTGGCAGACAGTCCAAACTGCTTGCTCCTTGAGGATGAGGGATTCTGCAGGGAAAGGGTCTGTGCTCCTGGGGGTGGGAGAGCTGATCCTGTGAGGTGGAAGGTGGTGCTCTTAGTGCCAACCCACAAGGAAAGGAAAGGAAACCACAGAGCTGGAGGCAATGCTGTCCATGGCTCTGCCAACATCATACCTTCTCCACGCTCCCTCATTGTCTTCAAGGACCATAATCCCTGCAGACACTCAAAAAAGTGCATATCTACACCCAAAAAAGTGCATATGTAGGGTAATCAGTCTCGCCTAGGCACCGTGCAGTAACTCTTGGCTTTTTTCCCCCTTTTGCCAGCACCTACTTCCATTGTGAGGTGAAGACTGCCACTCAGAGAGCTTTGTAAAAAGCTTATGTTCATGGAGGAATTTGTATTAGATACTGGTTTGTGTGACTTACTGTATTTTGTAAGGGTTTTTTTCCCTCTGGGAATTGTGCGTTATAACTGAGCAGTTTTATGCTTTCCTTCTAGTACACGTATACCTTGTAATGGATGTGCTTTTTTGTTTGTTTGTTTTCTTTTATGCTCTATACAGAGCCAGTTAATAGAAGGTAGATACTCTCTGGCTGAAATTCTCATTTTGCCTCCCAGTTAATTTATGGATAAATCCCTGTTGTAGCTGGTGAACTGCGGTTCACCAAGTGTGTTGTTAGAATCACCTGATAGTCTCTCTATTTTAGCAGAATATAAGATCCTGAGTAAGACTAATGCTAGCTGGGCCTTAAACTCCAGGGACATATTGCACTTCATGTGTTTCCCTACCTGCCCTTCTCCCTCAGTGTTTGGGACACTGTACAAGAGCACTGGCTACACAAACAGTCCCCTCAGCATCTCAGCCATCTCTGTAGCTGGGCTCTGATACCCCCCTGCTTTTACTTCATCAAAATCATGGTGAAACAGAAAAACTGCAATGAATCTTTCACTTTTTCCTGCAGAGACTGGTTCAAACACAACCTTTCTCTATAAGAAAGAATCTGGACTAAAACAGATCCATTTTCCTCCGTGTCCGTCCTGATCTGGTTGGAAAAATAAAGGGTCTAAAATTAACATTTACAGCCTATGTTACAACGGCAGCTGTCTGTCTCAGTGGCTATTAATGACCTTCATGCTCCAGAAACCTCCTTCCTTGTCCAACTCATTTTCTCTCTCCAGTTTTACTGAGAACTCAGTGTCCAACTTCTTAATAACTGCTGTGTATAACGTAGGACATAAAAAGATAAGTTATAAAGCTTGTGCAGGACTCGGTGTTGTAATTAACCATCTTTTGTGCCTGGTTATCAATTTTACAAAAACAGAGTGAAAATAATCCGGCCTCTCAATGTCTACTTCAGCATATTGTAGCAGCTCTTTTAGATAACTGGTTTTTATAGTTTTACTGTAATTTCTGTATGAGGACTGTCCACTTGAAGAAGCAACAGGTCAAAATGATTTTTTAGAGTCAGTTCCATTTCACCACCAGTGATGGTGTATGAAAGGTATAAAGCAGCAAAAGCAAAACCTCAGCCACTCACCAGGAAGAAACATCTTTTCTCAGCCTCAAACAATTCTCTTCTGCAAGACAGGCATTTCTTCTAGTCCTCCTTTTACAAAAGTAGTAAATCACTAAGAATATATACAGTACAATAGTCTATTTTAATAGTCAGCAGACAAATTTTAGGCTAATTAAGCTAACTAGAAATTCTAGGGTTGCAGTGATTTCTCTTTATTAATACATTGACAATAATACTGTTTACATAACACTCGATGTTTGAAATCAATACGTGCCAGTGTCCAGTGATTTGCTAATCTAGTTTTGGATCTAATCCTGTCCTATTTTTTGCAGCATTCTCTGACTTCATATTATGAATCATGTTGTCTTTCTAAAGTGATTGCCAAGTAAACCAAAAATGTGTTTTACACTGCTATTGCACTGCTCTTGTCTTTATATACAGTAGTTTTTATAAAGATGTCCTTAGGTTTTAATAAATGAGTGTAATGTAAACTAATCTCTGTAATAAAACTTGCTTTAGTGTTTCAAAGGCTGTCTGGAATAGCTGTAGAGATTTGAGCTTGCCTGTATTTCAATAGCTCCAAAATCTGTGGCTTCCTTTCCATGTGCAGGGGAGTCCCCAGATACCAGCACTCCACAGTGTATTTAATACACAGAATAATGCTTGGATGGGAGAGAGGGGGAAGGGGCCCCAAAAAACCAAACCACACCACAAAAACATGGCTGAGGCCACTGCATAAATAAATACACAATCCCTTTAGTCTGCATCATGTTTCCAGACGTTTCTACCACCAGATATTTAAGAGGGAAGTGTGGGATACTGAACAGAGGCTGCTAAGGAATAAACAAAATCTTCCCACTACTCGAGGCAAGCTGAGAAGAAACTGCAGCTGAGCAGAAAGAAAGCAACATTTTGACTTGCACACACCAAGAACTCCATCCCCATGTGGCTGTTATGGTGGGTCCATCCCCTCCCTGAGGCAAACACAGTTTAACTTGCTCTGTACAAAAAGGCAGGACCAGCAATTCACAAAAAAAAAAAAAAAAAAAAAAAAAAAAAAAAGACCTTTTTTTCCTGCCAGGCTGGAGGATTTGGACAGTTTTTCCAGAAAGATTTAGGTTTCCTAAACACACTGTGCTCTCTCTCGAGGCCCTTTGTCACCTGTTGTTTACAGGAATCATTCCAGATGGTCCCACAACACCGAGGACTGAAATTTCGGCTCTCACACCGGTAAAAACGAACAGTTTTGCCCCAACTGGATTAAACACACACACAAACCCAGATAAAATAACCAGCAAACGACTGCTGCTTTCTGTTGGCAGCTTTGCTGATACTTCAAGCTGTGCCTCCCTCCACCCCCTCCTCGGGGAAATGTCAGTAATGCCCTTGGGGTGCCCAGGTCCTAACACAGAGCACAGGCAGCAAGGAGATTCCAGAGGGGATTCTCACCTCTTGGAACCGGTTCCTCCCCTCAACAGAAACAGTTCTTTCTCTTCCCTGTCCTGCTGCTTCCCAAGCATGTTTTCCTCAGCTTCTCCTGTCCAGCACTTGCCCTCCCTGGCTCATCCCAAAACCTTGGTGTGCAACTGAAATCCTGGCATTTTACAAAACTTTTTCACGTTAGAAATCATTCTTTCAGTAACAGATCACTGACCTCAGACTGTGCTGTAGAAATATACCTAAACCAGTCAAAGCTACAGAAATTTTAAAGGCAGATTTTAACGATGAGAAATCCTTTGCAATGTCATTTATTTAGTGTGCCATGGTTCTCTCCTGCAGCTTCTGTAACAAGGCACGTCAGCTCAGAAGTGGAAAAGGATCATTTTCATTACAGCAACACTTCAGCAATTCTTAGGGGTTTTGCAACTGTAAGAGACCATAATTGCATCCCACTGTGCTAAGACTTATGGAGACATATTGCAGAAAGAAAGAGGACAAAAAGCAGCTTTAAAAACACATAAATATGTAAAATTACAAATAATTACAACCCACTCCCCTTGTCAAACTGCACTTGCAGTTGTGACAACAGCTAAATGTGCAAGACAAATGAGAAGGGAAATGGCAAATGGGCATATTGGGTGTGTTGCAGTTCCCTTACCAAGTTTCAACAATTTCTACAGTGTGCTTCTAGTAATTGAGTAAGAATTATATTGAACACATTATGCTCAGCAGGAACAGCTTTCATATACCAAGGAGCAAATTAAATACCTCTGGAATTGCCATAGAAGATGTTAAAATGCTGATAGTGACTTACAGACTGTCATTACCAAGCCATTATCACCAAACTAAAACAAACAGGAGCATCACAGCCAGTTCCTTTAAATTGTTTATTCTGACTAGAAAGCAGAGACTGCCCTGATCTGCTGGTTGTTCACATGTACAGAAGGACAAGAAGAGAAAAGATACCTAAGTTTTCATATTTATTTCCAAGAAAACAAACCCCTGTCACTCTCACCCAAGTCATTCTCAACCTTTAATTCAATTTGTGCAGAAAACGGAAAAACATCGTGGGGGAAAACTCACTAATACATCAGGTATGTGTGGGCATTCGTGTGTAAAGCATGTAATGGTTTGAATTTCCCAGTCAGAACTTTAACTGTCTTCTCTGAACAGCTGAATTGTGCAGAGCCTCGAGCTCCTCTCAAATTGGAATTCACCATTTCATCCTTAAGTGCAATTCCAGCACTGGTGTTTATTTGGAAGGATAATGAGGAATCAGTAGGATGTTATAAAGAACTGAAAAGTCATCTGAAGAGAGGGAAACTCGCTGTGCTGTCCCACTGGAACGAGCTCTTTGCCTCACTGTTGAGTCTTTCACAACCAAAAAAAAAAAAAACCCTCGGCACTAAAGGCAGAGCAGGCTTGAAATGAAGAGGCTGAGGGGAAGTTTATGGTAAGACATGCTGGGAGTCTCAGGCCACTTTCTGGGCCACGAGGAGGGACAGACATGAGGACCTGAACACAAATAGCTGCTGCTTTGTTGTGGCACTGACCGCTGACAATTGGATTTAAATCCCTGGCTCTGACAACACACAAACAAAAAAAGCTTGATCTAGGTAACATTTCAGAATACTCTCCCCGTGGCCACCAGGTTTAATTTAAGCCATTTTCATTAATTAGAGTTTTTTAATTAATTTTTGTATTAACTGCCTTATAGTAACTGCTGTAAAATGTCTTTTTTTTTTTTTTCCCAAGTAGGGCTATTGAAAACAATCCAAACCTTAGAAGCATCTAAAAAAAGCTGCGTTCCACTTGAGTTTTTTGCTCCACTGCTCTCTTCTCCAGCATTTGCTGTCCCAGGAATCGAGTACATAATTGTTTGATGCTATTAATGTGCAATATCAAGTTCTTCACTGCAAAGCCACCTTTCTGGAGCGTCCCTGGATTTTGGCAGAAGAATTTATGCTGCTGGGGCTGGTGGGAGCACAGTCGGAATGCCACCCCTGGTGGCAAAGTGATAGCTGGGCTTTGCTGTATAAACTCCCATTATCGTTTCAACCACACCTTTTCTTTCCCTGAATGAATGTGCTCTAAGCAGCCACCAGAGAAAGAGAATTTATCTAGTGAGGAGACACAGCATCCCAGTGCTGTCTCTGCTATTGTTATGCAGATAGAGGAGCTCAGACATTTCACAGCCTTTCCCTTTTCTCTTCACTAGCTGCATGGGTGTTTGTTGCAGAAATCATCTCTAGCTGATAAAAAAAAAGTCAAAAGCCCCAAACCCGAGGGAAAGAAATCCCACCATACTGTGAGTCTCACAGATTTTGTGTTTTGTTATAGTACCCACAGAAATAAAAAGCACTGCTTAAGCCACAGTCACATTTTTATGAAGTTCCTGGGCTGCAGGTGATGGCTTTGGTTGGGGACCTGCCCTTTTTCTCAGGTCTTTCAGCCTCAAAATAATAGAAGGCAAACCATAGACATTCAGAAGAAGTGCCCAAAACTGATTCAGGATGGAAATAAAAAAGGAATACTTGGGCTACTTGAACACTGCATTTCCTCTTTCAACGCCCCCTCCCATTTCCCAGAGTTCAGACAAAGGAAAGCAGGCCATGCTAATACACAGAAGAACCACCAGTATTAAGAAATCTCCTTTCCCCTCAACCATGACACACATAAATATGCACTAAACCTTCCAGCAACCTTCTGCGGAGCCACACATTCCTTGTTGGTGGTAGGAATGAGCAAATTGGGCAAATCCAGTTTTCTGTTTCACTTCTCCTCCCCAGCAGTTAAACAGAGGATACTTTGGCGGGACCATGGTCTTTACTCACCATCTCTCCCCAGCTGGTGCAAAATTCCCATTCCCTGCTGCAGCCCCTCCTCTGTGCCCACCAGAGGCACAGACCTCCCAAACACAAGGAATGCCAACACAGGATCCATGCTGGAGGTCCAGTGTGGTCTGGACCAAACCTTGTTCCCAAAAGAGATGGCCAGAACTGTGTAAAACACTTGCAGCCTGATGCTTTGGGCAGATTTCCACACTGCCACTGCCCAGGGTTTGACCCTTGTGCTGTCCTCTCCTCCATCACCAGGCAGGGAGGTTTCCCCTCTGCTTTCCCTGGAGCCAGAAACATCTGCATGCCCTGAGGGAGGGAAGTGGTTGGCAAAACACTTAAAATGCCTGCTTTGTGCCTGCTGTTTAAACCCACACTCTGCTGTCCTGGTGCTGCCCAGTTTGTACCACAGGGCTGGGCTTTGGCTTTGCTGCTGCCCAGGCTCTGCCGAGAGGAACTGAGGAGACAAACCTCGGGGAGCTGGCAGCTGGCAAATACACTTTGGAGCAGAGCAGGGTAAAAATAGCAGAGTCTGAAGGAAGGCCAAACTGAGAGCCTGCTCACTGTGAGCTGGGACCCCTCTAAGCCAGAGGGAAGCCGAGCCCCTCTTGCCAGCCCAGCTGTTTGCCATGCCCGAGCAGCAGCTGCACAGCCCAGCCAGGAGTCTTTCCCACTCAAAGTCAAACATCCAGAGGCTGCCTTGGATCAAAAGTAGCCTCCACTCCCCCAGTTCATGTGAGCACACACCAAGGATGTGTCTGGAAGCCTGGCCCAGACCCAGAAAGTCTCAGCCTGCTTGGCTGATGGACTTTGGCTCATCTTTGCTGTGCCATCTCGGCCGTCCCCTTCAATCCTGTCTAAGTCATGTCATTAATTCCTCCAGAACTACCATAGGAAAATGAGTGCTACTCACTGAAAGACACACAGAACTCAGGCAAAATATAAAATTGGATGGCATGGGAGGCCCCCCTGCAAAAACATGAAGCTTTTACCAAAGCAGCTGCAGGATTATTTTTTTTCTTTACCGTTTCAGGCAAGTAGCTGTGTTTCTCATCCAGAAAACTTACCCTGTTGCACCTGAAGCCATTTAGTTGAACTAGAGATGGATTTCTATGTGCTTCCAGCTCCAAGGTGCAGATCCCAGAGCCTGGGTGGACTACATTTGGTAGCAACCAGGTTTAGCAGGTCGGCATTGCCCCTGGAGTTTAAAGGGCATTT